TCCAATAGTTTGTATAGTATACGGTAATCCATGTGAGCCTCTCCCTCTGCTGGGTGAGGCTGAGTGACACACCATAGGTAGGGCCTGTGCTCACCTCAGCAGTTTTTTCTGTTGCAAGACAAACAAGCTGAGGCCGGCCGGAACACATGTGGGTAATGTGTCAGCAGCCAAGTCAAACATTAAACCCCAAACCGAGCATGAATGAATGAGCTCTCAATGGGTGCTGGAGCGTCTCGATGGGCGACCACACACACATGTATCATGTTGGCCGTGGTCAGCTACACAAAAGAATGGGAGTGCAAGCAGGAAGGCAGTGTACTTATGTCAACTCTGTAAAAAGAAAAAACACCAAGAGAAATATTTTTATCATTCAACAATTATGACGCCCATATGTGTTGAACTTTTATTTACCTGAACGCTTGAATAGTGTGTAAGCATATTATGTACTATAAAGAATACCCTTGTTTTTTATTGGCCTCTTGGAAGGACAATGTATTTAAAGGCACTGGTGTCACTGGCCAGATCTGTTCAGAAAGCTCAAAACTGCATATTGATCTCACACATCATATACCTTATGCTAACTTCGTAAACTCGTTTTTACAGATATTTCACAAACACAATATACAATTATATAAGGATTTCAATCAAGCTGAGAATTTAGCAAGCCTCTGTCAGTTAGCAACACCTTTAGGAGAATAGTGTCATCAATGAAACATTCAAAGATAAAGATTTTGTTTTGGTTTATTTTCTGACCATTTAGATTAAACTTGATTATTTCCAAATAATACATTTTGAACACTTTGCATTTTAGAATTAGTATTAAGTGTGGATCGGGAATGCATCCTGGCTCAACCATAACTTAAGAAAATTAGACCTTGCAAATGACTAAATGACTGCATGTTGTGGCAGAGGACCTTGTTGTAATCAAAATCCTTTTCCCAGAATTATTATTTTTTGCAATGTTTTTTAGGGGCAACCAGTGGGTTAAAGGGTTAAAAGAAAAACAATGCATGTGACATACTTAAAATGAACCATTTGGCCCTGATGCATTAATTAGGTGAAGGAAGTCAGATGTACGTGTAGTTTCTAAATGTTACAAGGGATCTTAAACTCTAAGAGAACACATTTTTCAATAACATCTAATTGTGGCAATATCGGACGTTAGACTTCTCTTTAATGACTCAACCCCGTATTCCTACTGTCACATCTGTTCCTAAATGTCATTATTGGCTGTGTATTTGTTATTTATCTCTCTGTAACTTTACAATTGCACAATTATAGGCAGTGTCCTGGCTCCAGAGCAGGTTGTAGTGTACAGAATTTTGCTGCTAATTTGGTCTGTATGTTTGTGTGGATACGGTGAAGTCCAGCGCCTCCTCCTTTACAGGTCCACAATTGTTGCAGCTATCAGCTTGGCCCATTAATTAGTGTAATTAGTCTTGCTTTGGGCAATAAGGGTCTGATATGAGCTGACGGCCTCCATCCCACACGCCCTCTCAGACCGTTTACCTTGCGCGATAAGTTTGTGAGCTCGCTAATCGGACACATTAATCACTTTGGCCCCAGCGCGCCATTCCACTGTTTGCTGTTGCATTAAGACGCGTTATCTCTATCGGAGCCAGCGGAGGGTGCGGTAAAACAGAAAGGGGAACAACCTATAGCTGCACACATGGACGCAGAATTGCCCTTTAATGACCATTGTTGAGTATTTTAATCAGCTTTTACAATGGCTGGCTGTCATTAAAAATGACTGAACGATAGTGGAGTTTTGTTGCTGAAGTGCTCGGGGAAGTTTGCTATCAGGCGGGAGTTCATTGTTTGAAGGAGAAAGGGAGAAAACTTGATTTTCTCTCAATCTCTTTAACACCAAAATGACCCCGGGCTTGTTAGTCAATAAAGCTATAACAGATAGGAGGATTGTTCACAGGCTGTTTAAGGCCGGGGTCCGTCCCTCAGGAAGCATTCAGGCCACCCTGAAGTGGAGCAGCTCCTCAGGCCTTTGAAGACCTTGCTCTTTTCCACCCTCCCTTTGCCTCTTTCTGTCTGATCCGTCTTTATCCCCTCTCCTCTGCCTCCTTGTCTATCTCTGTTTCACTCATCCTATTCTTCATGCTCTCTTTTATCCCGGGATCACTCCTTTAGCCCTTTTATTAGCATACCACAAACCCCATGCATTTCCCCCATGGTTTAAGTGCTATTAATGCTAATTGGAGGCAGGGAACCTCTTTAAGTAGCTTTCAGCAGGTCTGTTTGTTCACCTGGTGGGGGGGCTGTGTGTGTGTGTGTGTGTGTGTGTGTGTGTGTGTGTGTGTGTGTGTGTGTGTGTGTGTGTGTGTGTGTGTGTGTGTGTGTGTGTGTGTGTGTGTGTGTGTGTGTGTGTGTGTGTGTGTGTGTGTGTGTGTGTGTGTGTGTGTCTCTTCGTCTTCTAGGCTTTATGTATAAAATGCACCTAAACAATAAATGAAATGAACATCTTATAAAATCCATGAACACAACATGATATGCACAGAATATTTGATCCACCAAGAAATTGCCACTGCCATAGGATTGGGGATTAGCTAACATTCATAGTAAAATAAGTGATAAACATGCGAAAAGGAAATGACAGAGCCCTGAGCAAGACAAAATGATAGGACCTGTGTGAGTATCAGTATCATTCTTGAGCCTTCAGAAGGGTGACATGAATACAGTCGAACAAAGGTCTCCAGTTGCATGCAAACCGGGGATGTTAAGGTTCATGGTCTGCGCCTTAACCCCCGGGTCACCGGGGCACAGCTAAACCCACTCTGTTAAGATGGAACATTAAAACCTGGCAGCATTGTTCAATTCTTTCCATTTGCATTAGTCTAAGTTTAATCAGAAGGGATATACATGGTTGGAATAAGATTGGTTAGCTGTGAGCACAAAAGTAGTACTTTTTACTATTACTAGCAATACCGGTTGCTTTAACATTAGTTAAACAAATGCTTTTTTTCTACATATTGAAGTAAATGTATAATAAAGGGATTTGGACAATTGTTACAGTTTATTACCACACCACACATACGGTCAGTTTGCTCTCATCAAAGCCATGAAGCTCTATTGACGGAAAATAACTTTACTTTGTTGATTTTTGAATGACAACCATCTTTGTTAGTCTTGTTCCAACAAGTGTGAGAGTTTAAAAAATAAAGTAAATAACAGTCATCAAAAAAGAAGCAAACACCGAAACTGCTTTTGAGACTTTTCAAACCCTGCTCTCCAGCGCGGCCTTGGTTTAGATCGTGACACACCAAGAGAAAGAGTAGAAAGGCACTAGTTGGTTGGCAATGGGAAAGGAGTCTATTACCAAAAAGCGTCTTTAAGAACCTGCATAAAAGCGTACATTTTGGTGGATAAGATGCCTGTAGTTACAGTAGCAGCTGCAGTAGAAACCACAGAGATTTGAAAGCACACATAATACGCAAACTAACTCAAACCAAAGGCTCATAAAAGGCATTCTGCCTTTTGCACAAAGTCCAATTAAGCTATCAAAACTTGGCTAGTGTGATGAATTGGAGGGCCGATGTGTGTGTTTATTTTATCATTAGGATATCACCACCCTCACTCTGTGTTCTGCTACGGTTAGCACGTGTGGCACTGAAGGAGCAAATTGGATTGGTTTTACAGTACGTAAGCCCGGTCTTACATCCTGATGAGAGCCGACAAACACATTGGATTGGTGGCATGTAAATCTGAAGCAGTTTGATGAGCCGAAGGCGCAAATTGAATTCTCAACAATGTAAATCTGTATCAGCTCTGTGGCTCTCCGCCCGGCTCCAGCCCTGCCGGAGCTTAAATCATGCGATTGTTCCCTGCTGTTCAGAGATACAATCTCTCATGGCCATTTGCTGCGGCACCTAATCTGTTTTTGATGACTCTGTAGGGATGTAGCGATACATATGGGCAACTGAATCTCCCTCTGGCCCGCTCTGAATACATCTTTCTTTCTTCCTCTCTTCCTCTCGCTCACGAGCACACACTCACAAGCTGCACAGTTGGCACAGAGAGATTGCTTTGATTGAGCCATTCATGTGTGTTGATACAACAGAGGGCTCTGATTGGACATACTCATGGACCTGCTGTTTTCTCAGGAAACGTTTTGATCTCTGAAATAAAGCAGATGATGTCTCATATTTATTACGCTTCTGGAGCCTTATTGATTCATACAAATCATATGTATAGAGTAGTGTAGAGATGACTTGTTTCTGAAGGCTGATCAGAGAATTAGCATCGCTAGAGCTCATGGACTAAATTAGATGATTTTTCCATTGGATTTTGGAATTCAATTGTGTGGCAAACACGTGTTTCTGATACTTACAGCAGAATAATCTTAGTACAAATAGTTGAAGTGTGAATGCAATTGCCAGAGATAGCTAATGTAATGCTATAAATAAGCTAGAACCCGGTCAGAGGAGGTGAGTTTGTAGCTGTCTTTCATTGGTGTTTTATCCTATGTTTTACTTGCTGCCTTTTATGCTTTTTTCTACATTTTATAGTTGTACTTTGAATTGTGTATTGTGTACTGTATACTGTAAAGCACGTTGTACATTCGTGTTGTGAAGAGTGCTATATAAATAAAGTTTTACTTACTTACTCACATGACTTCGCGTCACTGTCGCTAAAGGCGGCTAATGTTGGGCGTGATGTTGTTTAGTTGTCTCATTTAGACACTTGTTAGCAAACGCTTTTTTGAAGACACTGAAAAGCTTCGGACATTCACCAGTGGGGTATTTATTGACATATTTTAAGTCTTATTCACAGACCTTATTTAGGGAACCAAAATGATGTTAAAAAAGCCTGGGAAGTGCCAAAAAATGCAAACTCATTCTGGGGTTTGGGACTCATTCCTGCACCCGTCTATACCCTTTCTTATTGCCTGTCCTATTTACTACCAAGTAGCTCATTATGACATCATATGTATACATTTCTACCGAAGTTTGATTCTCTCCGTCACTGACTGTCCTGCTTTGTCTCCTCAGTTACCCGTACAGTGAGGACAGCAGTCAGGGGAAGCAGTACATGAACACCCGATGCCCCGCCTGGTGCGACCGGATCCTGCTGTCTGCCTCTGCCAGGGATCTGGTCTTGAAGGTGACCCCATTCATGGCTTTCCATTGCTTTTAAGAGTTGTGTTTTAAACTAAATGTCACCATTCCTCCCTCAGCAGAAACACAGGTCTCTTTTTAAAAATGTCTCGCCCTTTACTTCTACCACTCTTTCGCCCTTCATCCACATTACCCTCCGGCACTTCACAGATGGAAGGATGAGGTGTCGGTGAATATTAATTTGGAGCGCTAAGCCATGGGTCCACCCAGGCAGTATATCCAGCTCTTATAAGGTTTCAATGGAGCAGCAGATCTGTCTCCTTCCTGGGGGATTGAAACCCTGCAGGCCCCGCTTCAAATCCATCCCAGCATTGTAAACTGCAGCCAATCTGCCACCTCCATCCTCTGCTCCCTCTCTGTTTGCTGGATTACGAAGAGATCCGTCTGGCTGCTCTGCACATTTCTCCCAGATTTGTTGAAACCCGTTTTCCATAAGACAACTCTTTTTGATTTTTGTTTTTCTCCCATTTCAGATTCCCCAACACTGTGGAATTAAGTATTTTCAGTGCTTAAACTCCAGTGTTGTATCTGTCTGTGTGTGTGTGTGTTAGACATGAAGCCAGTGTTGTAGTCAAGTCGCCAATTCTAAAGTCCGAGTCGCTCACATGCCCCTACTTTTTGCTTGTGAAATGTGTGTCGTCCAAACGTCAAAAATCATGCAAACGCTTTTCAAGCACACAATTTTTTCTGTAGAAAGTAGTTACAATAAAAAAGCTTCACAGCAATTATATCGTACATTACAATGGACAATTCAAGTTTAACATGCTGTAACATAGCCACATAAAAGGAAAGTACCTGCATTTCTGCACACTATATGTTTTTTCCTATTTTGGATAATCCTACCCAGGAGATTCATGTAAATCTATGAAATGGCCTGTATTCCTCCAGGCCTGCAGAGTGTATTGTGCAGGTACAGTCCACAGCGGACTCAGGAAGTTCGGCTCTCTTTTGTCCCAGAAATCCCTTCCTGATCTTCTTCTTTACCAATGGAGGCCACACTAGAACAACAACTGTATTAAAAACAGACTAGCCAGTTTATTTCACCCACTTAATGTGTCAGAATTATGCAAAAAGTGTCTCACACACACACACAGCTGGGTTGTTGTTTGCTTTTGTCCTCCTCAAGCACCGGCTAATTGCTTGTAATGCGGGGGCCGGTGGAACGGTTAGTGTGTTCTCAGATTGGCTGATGATTCACTGAGCACACAGTGTGGCTCCAGCGTTACAGATTGTTGAGACACAGCCCGTAAACAGCGGCGGGCCTCATCTATCATGGCACGCTCGGTTAACTCGCCATCATGTTATTTTCTGCTTGCCGAGCCCTAACACGCCAAAGGTTGCCGCTGGCTGCGCGGCGGGCCCCGGCCCCCAGCGCCGGTAATGAATGTTTAGCCGAGCGAGCAATCCCTCTCTGCCGGAGCCCCCGGGTAATTTGTTTATCTGTCTAAAGATTACGCAGCCCGAAAATCCACAATTTTATGCTGCCTTTGTAAATTATCAAGTGTGTGTTTGATGAATGTATCTCTGGCTTTGGGAGGCAGCGAATCGGGGGCCCGGCTGCCAGACAAATAGAGAGGTGCCAGAGCGTGGTCCCCGAGGAAAGGTAGAGTGAGGTGGAGCTGACCCCCCCCCGCCGCAGGATTGGGCTGAAGTTAATTTGGATTTCACTTTATGGTTCATTCTCAAGCTCTCTGTCTCGTTCTTCTGAAGCACTCAGCACCCACCAGACTGTGTGTGTGTGTGTGTGTGTGTGTGTGTGTGTGTGTGTGTGTGTGTGTGTGTGTGTGTGTGTGTGTGTGTGTGTGTGTGTTAGGGCGCCTGTTTAAAAAGTCTTTAGTTCAACCAGACAAGTGTGATTTATTCTCCAGTCTGCAGATTCATGTGTGAGCGGGTAACAGTGATATGGAAACATGGTTCCCTCAGATAGGATCAGATGACAGTAGCAACAGAAGAGCGTCCACTCTGTGAATGAATCCTCACCGTGCCCTGAGGGGGGGGGGGTCCTTCTGCCTTCATAAATCAGATGATGTGCGACTGCTCTGTGGGGATCTGTTAGAACATGAAATAAACGTACGGTGTGTGGTGCATCTCCATCATGAACGATTGATCAGGCGTCATAGAAGATCGCTAAAACAATAATATAACATCATTTTACTTTCTGTAAATCAGCTGGGTTATAGTCACGGCCATCCCTCACAATTCTATGAACTGAATGTATTTAGCAAATTGTAAACCTTTAATTTCTTCACATTCTCTAACTGGTGCCTATTTTAATGTTGGCCCCAGTATTCCCCCATACAATTTAAGTTATAAAACAGATTGGAATGAATGTATAAATATATGTATTAACCAGCGATATAATGCAAATGACAAATAAACGGAACACAGTGACTGCACTGGTTTAGGATTTTGTTGAACTTAAACTAATTATTTTAAATGTTAATCAAAAATGTTTCCTAGGATACAAAAATATGGAAAAGAGTGCAGCCACTTCAGCCTGATTAATTTGAATGCCACGTGGTGCAGTGCTAAGTGACTTGTATTTGGAAAGTCCCCACCATAACCCAGCTAATTGTGCTTAATGAAGGCGGAGCATTGATTTCTGATCCATGAGTGTGTCATAAACATGACAGGTGAGGTAATGATTGTACTAACACACACTGCTGCTGACTCAGCATGTGTTACTGCAGCCTGTTCCATTCAACAGATACATCTCATCCTTTTCATCCCATAATGTTTGGTTTTGTGTGTCTGCAGCCTGAAAACGAAGAGAAGTCTGTAGTCTATGATAACATCGGGCCCAACGTCTGCATGGGGGACCACAAGGTAAGAGAGGGGCCTCTGGGGCCACATCTTCACTGTGATGTCATGATATTATTATCTATGTCGACTGAGTCTGTGAGTCTGCTCTCTGCTCACAACATCTAGTGGGAAACAACTGTTTGTATTTCATGTGTACATATGGATATTAAAGGGGAACGCAAACTTAATTTAGAATTCCAAAATGTTATTTTCATATTATATTTTCAAGTCAGAAGAAGGTCTCAAATGTATTACATTTCGAGTATAAAGAAAGAATGACATCAATAGGAGTTTGTGGACCCACAGAATATTTGAGTTTTCTATATATCCCAGGAGATTATCTATGACTCACTTCCAAACTTTATACTTGATGACATCACACATTTGATATTTAGCACTATAGTTTTTGATGTTAATTTTAAATGATTGGACAGGGACTATAGGAACAACATGTAATCAAATTGCAAATGTGCATGATTCCCCTTCAATGTGTTCCAACTAGAGCAGGGATGCACATAACTTTCTCAGTGAGGTACTCAGATGAGTACCTGGAGTCAGTGTTTGGTACTCCAACTTCTGGCTCAACTCAAAGTTATTTGATGAGGTCCTCTGTATCGCGAACGTCAACGTAGCGCAGTTCTCCAGTGAAGGGGGGGAGACTCCCTCCGCAGCCGGTTGGCGTAGTTTTGGCACAATTCCGTTGTACAGACCAACAGCAGCCCTGTCTGTGCATACAGAGACCGACTCTGTTGTCCGGTGATCTAACCGGCTTCTGGAAAAGCTTCACAAGTACGTCGGTACGCAAATGCGCTTTGTGACACAAGTGACGGTATGCATTTCGGATTGTTGCCGCGCATGCGTACCTGCGTACCAGTTATGTGCACCCCTGTATATGAGGCTTTTATTGTTACTAACGGGGATAAGATGTATTTGACTTATTTTACACTTGCTTCCGCCTGCATTCATTTGAATTGCAACTTTCACATTCATGTGGGCTCATTTACCAACAAACAGTATTATTATTAATAGTTTAAATTTCCAGTAGTGTAAAGGTTGTTGTAAAAAGAACATTTTCAAGCATAGTCCCACTGATCAACAATTACAAAAGAAGTGTACACATATATTCAGTCTGCATCAGAATGTCCCCCACCAGCAGTCAGAGCCGTATGTAAATTTCAGATACGGCTTTAAGCATTGCTCACGCATTCCTGCATGCCGGGAAGCTGCTCGTTCCCTCATTTCATATTTCTACTGAAATACGTTCAGTGGTAACAGACACTAGAAATGTGGAATATATAACCTTAAATCCCTTACCAGGTTTAATTTAGGAAACTTCTTTCTAAAAGCAATACGATCAATAAATAAATAAATATTTAATTCTGCCATGAACTGAAATTTTCAGCCGACAGGAAACACCCTGCTGACTACACTCCCTACAGTTTCCTATGACAAGAGAAACTTTGAATATAATCCCCACTTTTATGATTTCTCAGATGAAATGGGAGTAAAAAAAGCATCATGCGCTTTACCATGGTTTCATGACATGATAGCAAACACACCTGTGTATGACGGGAAAAGGTTTAGTAATGTAAGTTAGCCACTTAATAACCACCTTTATTAAGACACATAAAGCTTCACAATTCACAAAGTGGGGTATTTACTGATGGGCGCATACAAATCTCATATTTTACCACAGATTTTTATTTCAGGCATCTAATCAAAAACCCATTAAAGAAAAAAACGTTGATGCTAGGTAACAGAATAAAAAAAATGCTGACTCATTCCTGGGTTTGAGGACTCATTCCTGCAGCACTTTTATAAAGAATAATTGAAATATGTTGAGCGCACAGAGAGGGGCTGACTGTATAGACAGAGTTTAACATGGGCGCTCCAGTCTGAGGGTGTCAGACAGACGGTCGTCCGCTGAGAGAGAGGCGCCTTAAGTCAGGTCTTTCATCAAAAGTCAGTGTAACACAGACGATCGAGTGTGTGTGTGAGGTGACCTGAGCACTCTGACAGAACCCCCCCGCCACACACTACTGCTAAAATCCCAGAAGGCCATGTTTAAAAAATGTCCAATGTAGTTAGCACACGGGACCAAAAATGCCCTGTGAGTTTAACCTGTGTGTCAGGGGGGGGGGTCCTCCTGTCCCACAGGGTCTAACTGCTCTGTCTCTGTCCCCCCACCAGCCTGTCTTCCTGTCCTTCCGAATAACAGCGGGGGCAGGTAAACCTAATGCAAATAAGCACAAGTGTTGTGTGGTGCAGTGATGTCGTGGTAAATATAAATTTTTCTTTACTATAATTCTTACCATTGTATGTTTGATTTGTCTGAGTTTTCATGACTTTGCACAAATGGTATTTGAAGGAGTTTTATTCCAGAATAAAACATCATCAGTGGAAAAATTATAGCTTAAAATGCTTGTCATTTTAAGAGATTTACTTACTGCATCTTGTGCTTAAATTTAAAAAGTGGGCATTTGTATTTGATTGAAACTCTACTTGGCATTTATGAATAAAAATGTGTGTTTTTCTCTCGACAGGGAAGTGTTGCCAAAGGGGGGAGAAGATATTCCGAGAAGCGCCTCTGTGAGAACACAAGAGAAACAAACAGGACACACACATGCATGCACACACACACAAACACACACACACACACACACACACACACACACACACACACACACACACACACACACACACACACACACACACACACACACACACACACACACACACACACACACACTTTGCACAAGTGTACACTGAAGTTTTTCAGCAGTGCTGAGCAGTTGCAGTTGTCCTGACACCTCATCCATACACCCTGCCGTTTTCTCTCCATAAAACACTTGTTGAGATGTGGACGAGCACCGAGGGCTCCAGACAGACACACATCGCTGACCTCACTGTTGCCATGCAACCCCATTCCCCCCAAGAAGAAAAAAAAAGGACGGACGACTCTTTTCCATGCCGCAGCCTCGTTGCCAAAACTCTAATCTAAATCAGTCCTACTACTTACTTTTAGACACCGTACTTGCCATTTTTAGGTATGCCTCTGTATAGAGCTACTCACACACAGTATGTAAGGTGTTTTAAGTGCAATGCAAAAAACAGTTGTATATCTATATTGTTAGGTTTATTTGTACATTGGACAGTATAACATAGAGTTGTTGATGATTTTAGTGCCGTTCTCTTTCTGACCAAACTTTGCGGTCCCTTTGTTGGAACAGATAACCTTTCCGTTTATTTCAACAATTTATATATATATATAAATATATACATTTTTGTTTTTGAGTTGTTGTGTGCACAACACATTGCCATGCCTGACACATCAGTTGAGTCTCATTTTATATACTGTACTTTTTAAAGAGATAATTTATAATTCTTACCAAAATGTTTATGCTGAAGTGTGCAGAGAGTGACCTTTGAGTAGAGACTCTTCGTGATTGATCGCCTACCAGAATGTTTTAAGCAGTGCCATAGACCATGCAAGTATATAAGATATTGTTTCATATATAGATCTCACATTAGTTCGTTATTATTCTTACTCTAACTTATTTCTATAATATTATGGTTCTGAATGTGATATTTTAGATAGGCTTGGATATCCTTAAAATGTTTTTTTGTGTGTCATTTTTTTGTTTGTTACTGCATTTGGTGCCAAGTATCCTAATCCGAGATGAAGTGTGTAAGAGTTCTAGAATAAGTGGTAAAGGTGTTGATTATGTCATGTAAAAAAGAGAGAAACTCTAACGCGGGAAGAGCAGGGAGCTTTTTATTTGTTTCAGCCTTATTTGCAGATCATTGAGCATTAGGTTTCTTTTGTATCGATTTCATTTACTACACTACAGATTTCAGACTGTGATTTATTTTTCATCTAAATCACTGCAAGTGGAAATGATTTTGTGCCTGCCGCAGAATTTATGTTGTCTTGTGTGATTTTGGTTTGTAGGCCCTGCTTGTTTTTGTCCCTGTGGGTGTTCTGTAGGAGTAAGCCGCAGTTTCTCTTGACTACATCTTATAAAGCAGATAGAGATTTTATTCTATAGCCCCCCCCCTCCCCCCTCCCCCCTCCGGACGGCCTGCTGTAGGTGATGCAGTTCTCAAGCAATAAAAAATACCTTTAGAGCTCACGGCTGTTTGTCTCATTCCCTCTCTCCTCTCCACAATAAGAGACCCTCGTGATAAAGGTCTTCATCAATTAGCCCCGCACGAGCTCATCAGTGTATTATCACTATATTACCACGGCGGGGTGTAGACTAAGAACTGGAATATGGTCGTTTCTCTTCATGGGGGTGCACTATGACACCTTTAATTGGTTTAAAATATTCTTCGGGCAGCCAATAAGAAATATAAATAACGATCGAAAAAAGAGCAGTAGCCTATAGTTCGAAATACCAACTTTATAGGCTATTTATATTTCTTATTGGCGTGGGTATGACAAAAGGAGCTCATATGCCGCTATGATCTTGGCATATAGTCTATATTTTTTTGTTACAGAAATAAATACAAATTATTGTCCGAAATTCGCGATGTTTAGGCCTTTTAACGGAAAATATAACTGACGGGAATATATTAAAAGTTAGCTGCAAGCGAGAGATGTTATCCAGTTTATGATGGTAATGGAATTTAGTTATGCAATTTAAATAAAAAATATACTTTCAATGCAGTTTAAAATCTGATATTAAACATATGCTACTGAAAAACAAGCGATTTAAAATGTTAACAATAACCTTCAGACAGGCTTTACAACCTTTAGCTATAAATATTAAGCTGTATATAATGTTACGTTTACATAAAAGAACGTTTAAAAAATAAAATAATACGTCAATAAAGTCACTATATAGACATTATTTAGGAATATTAGCCAAAGGAACATTTAGGCTAAATATATCGTAATAATTATTTCTGGATAAATCCTTTTCTCCCTGCAGTGTGGCAGCAGCTGTTCACTTCTACATGATTTATAAATCCCTCCTCAGTGGGATCTAATTTTATGACTTCTGATTTCTGCTCCAAGGAGACTGCAGCAAGCTGCCATTGATACAACCTGCAGGAGGAACACAGGTGTAGTACCTCCTGCCGGACAGGGGGGGCGTTCTGCTGTCATGAGCTCCAGATTAAATATAATAAACAATATAATCTCCTTCAGTGTATTAATAAAGACTGCTGGCTGTCCACAGGAAGCTAGAAGGGCCAAAATAGAAAATGAATTCCGAGTTGGGGAACATTTTAAAAATAAAATATCCGGTATTTCAAGAAAACACTGAGCTTTGATTTTTTTAAATGTTACTTAGTGCTTGTACATAATAACGGACAAATATCTATCATTTGTTACAAAATATAATTGTTGAATAATTTCCAATTATTTAACATTTGAGAATGCTGTGATTATATTAATACATTAATATTGTATTATAATAATGCTAATAATTTGGTTGTAATACCAATATTATTATAATAACACCTAATGAAAGAAAAGTTGGACCTATAGATAATTTCCGTTTTTAAATTAATTTTGCGTTTTAGAAAATAACCCTGTTTAATGATAAACACGATAACTGAATCAAACTAAAGGAGGTGCTTTGTGCCATCATGATCATCGTATTATTATTAATAATATCAATAATAATTAAAATAATAAAATAACATTTCCTTTTTCATAATCAAATCCGCTTCACACTTTAAATCAGCATGAAGCCCTAAAAGCACAATTGTTGCCAATAATAATGACATTCAATTATTGATAGTCGTGAATTTATCTTTAATTTATATTAAGCCCATACATTAAAACAAAACCCGTAATACAACAGAAATGCTTGTTAAATAATTTATTCATTATACAAAGTGTTGTTTTTTTTCTTCCTATAACCTTCCCGGAAGCAATAATACTCTTTAATTCCAGCAGAAACGGTGGCCGGTGTTCTGCCGCTGAGTGAGGCCAGATGATGCAGAGTGTTCTGTTAGCTGTCCTTTACAGGTATTTACAGCAGCGGGTTACAGCGGTGTGCCGGTACCAAACGGACCATGGCCCGATACACTGCAGGAACACAAAGGAAGCAGCAGGTTTATCTGTAAACGCGTCCGGCTGCCACGTTTCCACTGGTTGAAACAACATAACTTATTCAGTAAAAAATATATACAATCTCATCTCATCTTTAGGCTGCAGCACAAATCATTCATTCGTGTCAAACCTGCGGCCTCGTGCCTTTAGGACAGTGGATACCCTGGTTAAACTGAGCTTTAGAAGCGTCACAGGCCCGTCTACACCTGCCATCTGAAACATGCGTCTGGGATCCGGATCACAGTGGGCTGCTAATAAATCTGTTAAAAGCGTACAGACACCTCTCAAAGCTACATTAACTTTTTCTTCAACACAAATTGCATTAAGGCTGAATGATCTTAAAGTGTGGCTTCAGAATAATAAAAAAGCTGTCTTTTTCCTTCAGATGAAAATATAGTGAAGACCAATTAACAGGAACATCCACTCTCTCGCTGGAGGCTAAATGGATGGCCCTCTTGGCTGTAGAGGTGACAGAAGCTGCTAATCTTGGGTAGAGGTGGCGCGGGAAATAATGTAACAAGTGTCATGAATTACATAAAGAGGACCAGCTTGAGGCATAAAAGTCAACAAGTAATGAGCCAACAGTGATCCGGATTGTGTGTATATAATAGTTTCTTTACATTTACACCTGTGGTTAAAACTCCAGTTGAATGCGTAAAAATCTGATTTGCGTCGCCAAACATTTTCCAGTATTATTTTGTCCTTTCAGCTGAATCACCAGTCTTGTTGAGTTCGGACAGGAGTTTCCTCTCCGTGTTTACACTGTCGGTAAGTTTGGATGCAGCCAAAGCGTCTCTGGACATGTTTTGGTGAGCGCGTCTTTCGTGCGCAACAGCGGTTTTTACGCATTTTCTCGCTCTGTCTGAGCATGATGCGAGCCCATCAGGCGCATGTTCGAAGTGTCAGGTGGGATGGGGTTCAGAAAGACTTGTCTCTGTGGCCCCCTCCCCTACTGTGCCCCCCCAGCTGTGGGCATCACAAGGTGTCCGAGCTGTTGCTGCAGGGGCTGATCAGCGCCAGGTTGGTGGCCTTGTGCTTTTTCAACAGTCTCGTGATTTTCTCGTCGTCTGAGTTTGGGTCCAGCGGTTTGTTGTACTCGTCGTCGTCCTCGTTATCCGAGCTCTCCTTCATTTTCTCCGTCTCAGAGTCGTGCTTCTTCTTGGCCGTGGCCATTTCTGCCGCGTGTCTCTTCCGCCATTTGGTCCTTCTGTTCTGAAACCAAACCTGTAGAGGAGAGGCGAAACGATGCTCAACAGGTCCAATAACAAGACATCAGAAATCAAACTAATTAAAAGTGTAAGGTGTAAATAATCCTGTATGCATAACATAAATAACAAATAATACTAATAATAACAGCAACCTTATTTACAAATAGAAATAATATTAGGTTATAAATGTGATCGATCACACACCGTTTATTATCGTGGCCTGTGCCAAATTCATAATTCTCAGATTGCAGGGAAGTGAAACCTTTTTCTATTTGAATAATGAATGAGCAGGCGTTTACCTTGACTTGACTCTCGGTCATCCCCAAAGAGTAGGCCAGCCGGGCTCTCTCCGGCCCGGCCAGGTATTTGGTCTGCTCGAAAGTTTTCTCCAGGGCAAATAT